TCCAAGATGCTGCAGTACAGCAGCCCCATCAGCCATGATGAATGGGGCACAGTGTCAACTCCTTTGGGAGGAGCACAGTCATGTGAACTCCAAGAAGCTCCCTCAGGTGGGCTTTGCACCTGTGACAACTGCAGGAGTTTCCAGTGGTGAGGACTATAGGTGTCCAATGTGGTGATAGAGGCTGCTGAGGGCCTCTTGCTTACCTTTTCTCTGCAGTAAGAAATCCTTCCTGGTTCTGACCTGATCATAACTAGGGGATGAGGTGGCAGAGCCAAGGTGTTTCCTTCCATTCTCTGAGACCATCCTGGGTTTCTGTGCTCTACAGGGTTTCTGCTTCTCCTTTGCTGTACTCTGGTGCCCTCTTTTAGCTATTCTCATCAAGATGTAGTTTTTTAGTCAGGCTTTTTTCCTTGTGTGAAGATGAGCACTAAAGGCTTCTAGTGTAGGTTAGCTTGCCAATATTACTCCAGTATGAACATTTTAACATTAATTATTTCAACACATAAACATAGGATATCTTTTCATTGCTTTGTGTCTTAAATTTCCTTCATCAGTGTTTTATAATTTTCAGTGTACTGATTTTTCACCTCTTTGGTTAAATTTATTCCTAAGTAGTTTATTCTTTTTGACAGTTTTGGAAATTTTTAAAATAATTATTATTTTAAATAATTATGTAATAATGTTATTTCTTAATAATTAAAAATAGTTAACTACTTTAAGTGATTATTTAGTAATAATTTTAAAAATAAACTCCCAGGTATACAGTCAACTACTATTTGACAGGGGTGCCAAGATGAAAACAAAATAAGAAAGGACAGTTTCCTCAGTAAATGGTGTTGGAAAAACTGGATATCCACATGTAAAAGAATGAAATTGAAACCTTATCTTCCACCACTCATGAAAATTAATTTAAAATGTATCAAAGACTTAAATGTAAGGCCTAAAACCATAAAATTCATAGAAAGAAAAATAGGAAAAAAGCCACTTGTCATTTTTCTGGAGAATTATTTTTTTAATAGATATAAGAAGAAAAGCTCCTGTGAACATGGCACTGAGAGTGGCGTGGAGTTTGCAGGCAGTGGTATGCAGCCTGCATGCACCCTCAGCACCTGCTGGGCCTTGCCTGCAGAGGCTCTGGTGACTGAGGGTGGGTGACTTCTAGACATGTTCTGCTCTCACTGCATAAATTCACAGAGAAACATGAATGCATAATAACAGAAAATGGTATTGTAACCGTGCGAATCAGCAATTTGCACAGAGATCTTTGGGAGCTGTTGTTTACTGTAGTCGGCCTGAAGTTGGGACAAAATTGAACAAACAAGATGAGTTTGGTGCTTTGGAAAGTATGAAAGCTACTAATGAACTCTTTTCTCCTTTATCAGAATCCCTTGAAGAAAATCCAGAGTTGTCAACAAATCTATTGGGGGAACCAGCTCCTAGTATTTCAATGTAGGTTCTTTTCTATTTTCCCTAAGTGTTGGCTGGTCTAAGAAATAAAGAGAAAGAGTACAAAGAGAGAAATTTTACAGCTGGGCCTCCAGGGGTAACATCACATATTGGTAGGACCGTGACGACCCCAGGTCGCAAAACCAGCAAGTTTTTATTAGGGATTTTAAAAGGGGTGGGGGTATATGTGCAGGGAGTAGGTCACAGAGATCACATGCTTCAAAGGGCAATAAAGATCACAAGGCAAGGGCAAAATCAGAATTACTGCTGGGGGTCTATGCCCTGCTGTGCTGATGAGGGTCTATGTCCCACTGTGCACATATTGTCTGGATAAACATCTTAACAGGAAACAGCATTAGAGAGCAGAGAACCAGTCTGACTAGAATTTACCAGGCTGGAATTTCCCAATCCTAGTAAGCCTGAGGGTACTGCAGGAGACCAGGGCTTATTTCAGTCCTTATCTCAAGTGCATAAGACAGACATTCCCAGAGTGGCCGTTTATAGACCTCCCCCAAGGAATGCATTCCTTCCCCAGGGTATTAATTCTTAATATTCCTTGCTGGGAAAAGAATTCAGCGATATCTCTCCTACTCACACATCTGTTTATAGGCTCCCTGCAAGAAGAAAAATATGGCTCTACTGTGCCTGACCCTGCAGGGAGTCAGACCTTATGGTTATGTTCCCTTGTTCCCTGAAAATCGCTGTTATTCTGTTCTTTTTCAAGGTACACTGATTTCATATTGTTCAAACACACGTTTTACAATCAATTTGTACAATAGTGGTCCTGAGGTGATGTACTTTCTCAGCTTACAAAGATAACGTGATTAAGAGATTAAAGTAAAGACAGACATAAAAAATTATAAAAGTATTAGTTTTGGGAACTGATAAATATCCATGAAATCTTCACAATTTATGTTCAGAGATTGCAGTAAAGGCAGGCATAAGAAATTATAAAAGTATTAATTCTGGAAACTGATAAATGTCCATGAAATCTTCATAGTTTATGTTCTTCTGCCTCAGTTCCAGCCGGTCCCTCCGTTCAGGGTCCCTGACTTCCCGCAACACAAATCTTGTTATGAAGATGATTGGATGATCACAATGACACTCGGTAACCCTTCAGAACTAGATGAACTACAGCTCATGCTTGTAATCCCAGCACTTTGGGAGGCCAAGGCAGGCAGATCACCTGAGGGCAGGAGTTTGAGACCAGCCTGGCCAATATGCTGAAACCCTATCTCTACTACAAATACAAAAATTAGCCAGGTATGGTGGCACATGCCTGTAATCCCAGCTACTCAGGAGTCTGAGGCAGGAGAATCACTTGAAACCAGCAGGCAGAGGTTGCAGTGAGCTGAGATCATGCCACTGCACTCCTGCCTGGGCGACAGAGCAAGACTCCATCTCAAAAAACAACAAACAAACAAAAAAAATTTCTAATGATTGTGGATAAATACAATATGCTTCTTTTTCACAATACCCTATGATTTTTAGACTAGGCTCTAATATTCAGAATTCATGAAATTATGGCAAAACCTAGTTATTAATATTATGTAATTCAAGGATACCATTGTTGTCTTAAACCTAATATAATACTGTAGCTTGTTTATATCAATATCTGGATGTGGGTCAAAATACTAAATCATCTTTCCATTGGAAGTAATTGGGAGTAGAGAACTTTTTGTCAGTGGATGTACAGTGTCAGATGAAGAACAACACTATCTTAATTGTTCAAGATAGTACATTTCCTGTTGCTATTTTTATACAGTGAAGCAACAGCTTTGCAGCAAAATAAGAAATAAAATATTCAATTTCATTTTAAAAAAGAAAACCAGGAAACAAAAGCAGAAACACACAAATAGGATTGCATCAAAATAAAAAGCTTCTGCACAGCAGTGGAAACAATCAAAAAATGGAAGAGCAGTCTACAGAATGGAAGAAAATATTTGCAAACTATATATCTATGAGGGGTTAATAGTCAAAATCTGTAAGACAGGGGTGTCCAATCTTTTAGCTTCTCTGGGCCACATTGGAAGAAGAATTGTCTTGGGCCACACATAAAGTACACTAACATTAACAACAACTAATGAGCTAAAAAATCTCATAATGTTTTAAGAAAGTTTACGAATTTGTGTTGGACTGCATTCAAAGCCATCCTGGGCCACCTGTGGTCTGCAGGCTACAGGTTGGACAAGCTTGATGTAAGAAATTTGTACAACTCAACAGCAATAAAAAAAAAAACAAATAATTCGATTTACAAATGGTCAAAGAACCTGAATAGACATTTTTCCAAAGAAAACATACAAATGGCCAACAGATACATGAAAATGTGTTCAACATGACTAATCATTAGGGAAATTCAAATCAAAACTGCAATGAGATACTACCCACACACCTGTTAGAATAGCTATTATTAAAAAAGACAAAAGCTAACAAGTATTGGTAAGGATGTAGATAAAAGGGAACCTTTGTGCTCTGTTGGTGGGGATATAAATTAGTGCAGCTATTATGGAAAACAGTATGGAAGTTCCTCAAAAGACTAAAAATAAAACTATCTGGCAGGGCGTGGTGGCTCACACCTGTAATCCCAGCACTTTGGGAGGCAGAGGCAGGTGGATCACAAGGTCAAGAGATCGAGACCATCCTGGCCAACATGCCAAAACCCCATCTCTACTAAAAATAGAAAAATTAGCTGGGCATGGTGGCATGCACCTGTAGTTCCAGCTACTTGAGAGGTTGAGGCAGGAGAATTGCTTGAACCTGGGAGGCAGAGGTTGCAGTGAGCTGAGATCACGCCATTGCACTCCAGCCTGCTGACAGAATGAGACTCCATCTCTAAATAAATTAATTAATTAACAAATAAATAAAAATAAAACTATCATATGATCCAGCAATCCTACTTCTGGGTATATACCAAAAGAAAATGAAATCACTATCTAGAACAGATATCTGCACTTCCATACTTATTGGACCATTATTCACAATAGTGAAAACATGGAAACAAGTATTGGCCAATAGACGAAAGATAAAGAAAATGTACTATGTATATACAATGGAGTATTATTCAGCCATAACAAAATGAAATCCTGTCATTTGCACAACATGGATGAATCCGGAGGGCATTATACTAAGTGAAATATAATAAGTCCTATAGAGAATTACAAGTACTGTACAATTCTACTTATATGTAGAACCTTAAAAAGTCAATCCATAGAAACAGAGGGTAAAATGATGGTTGCCAGGGGATGGAGGGCAGTGGAGAAAATCAGGCAATGTTGGTCAAAGGGTACAAATTTTCAGTTCTAAGATGACGAAGTTCTAGAGATCTAATGTACTGCATGGTGACTATAGTTAATAATGATGCATTGTACACTTGAAATTTATTGGGGAGTAGATCTTTCTTTGTGTTTGTTGATACCAATGGCCAGAAGGGAGTAGATCTTAAACGTTCTCACTACACACAAGATTGTTAACTATTTAAGATAATGGGTGTGGATTAACTAACTTGATTATGGTAATCATTTTACAATATATGTATGTCAAATCACCACAGTGTACACCTTAAATATATACCATTTTATTTGTCAATTATACATCAGTATAGTAGGGATGAAGAGAAAACCAGACAGGAGGAGAAACCACATCATATAATTTTATTGGTAAATAATTCTTTAGCAACCAGACAAAAATTAAGAGAGACTCATGTTCTCTCCATGTGTGCACAATAGGGGTCTTCAGTACAGGCTTTGGCACATGAATAAATGCTCACTTTATGAAAAAGTGAATCAATCAATGTACAGACCAATTCTCTCATAAGTAGAATAGTTGACAGACCACCTAAATTATATGGACCTCCCTTACACATAAATAAGAAGAGCTTATTATCTATCCCTACAATGACAGATGCCAATCCAACCACTTGTTAATGGAGAATGTTCAGTTCATAAGTGGATCTTCATCATCTCACAAACTGACCTTTGATGAACAATACAATGAACATCATTCCAGCCCCATCTTTTGGGTGTTTTACGGAAATTTAGCACAACACAGCGCTCATTGGGATCACTGGGCTCATGTGGATGCCAGAATCTGAAAGGGACAAAAAAGATGAGGGCATTTCTTCAGAGCTTTGAAAAGAGTTAGAGACAGGGGTGAGGAGCTAGGGATGAATTTCATGGAACATAGGGTCAGATATGCCCAAATCTATGTTTCAGCCACTCATCATGCAGCTTCTCCTCCATCTGCATTTCTGGCATTTCCTTTGAAAACTGTGCTTACATCACTCAATGTTCTCTCTCTTACTGCTTTGAATATCCTCACCACAGATTTTCCAGAGGTTCTTTTCTCTTTGTCCATCCTTATGTCCTGTTCCTATGGGTCCGTCAACCTATAGGGTGTCCTTGTACAATGAAAAGATTTCACCCTGGTCCCACTTATCAATAGAGTTTTTCCTTTTTTTAATGCACTGTTTTTAAAGTCTAGAGAACTAGTAAAATCTTTTGGATCTTCTACTTATCCCTGTTATTGGATAAGTAATTTAACTTCCCTGATTCTCAATTTTTCTATCTAAAAAATGAGGACTAGAGTAATATCACAATTTATTTCATACAGTGGATATGAAGATCAAAGGTGGTAATCCAGTAAAGTATATATTTTATGTAATTTATGTAATGTATGTAAAGTATGTAATTTATGTAATTAAAGAATTACATAAATATGAGATACAAGATTATCAGAATTTAGCATTTTTGCTTCATAAGAAGTATTAAATCTTCAACCTGACTGGGTGTGGTGGCACACACTTGTCATCCTAGCAACTCAGAAGACTTAGGTGGGAGGATCCCTTGAGCCTAGGAATTCAAAGTTGCAGTGAGCCATGATTGCACCACTGCACTCCAGCCTGGTTGACAGAGTAAGACCCTGTCTCAAAAAAGAGAAAAAGAATTATCAAATCTTAATAATTGGTTATGATCTTAATCAACATGGATTTTCACTATGTAGAGATAGGTAAATATACTGGTTAAAAGCACAGTAAGATCCACCCCATTTGAGAACTATTGTTAGCCAGGCACGGTGGCTCACGCCTGTAATCCCAGAACTTTGGGAGGCCGAGGAGGGTGGATCACGAGGTCAGGAGCTCAAGACCATCCTGGCTAACAAGGTGAAACCCCATCTCCACTAAAAATACAAAAATTAGCCAGGTGTGTTGGCGGGTGCCTGTAGTCCCAGCTACTTGGGAGGTTGAGGCAGGAGAATTGCGTCAACCTGGGAGGCGGAGCCTGCAGTGAGCCAAGATTGCTCCACTGCACTCCAGCCTGGGCAACAGAGCGAGATTCCATTTCAAAAAAAAAAGAAGAGAGAACTATTGTTGACACCACTGGGTGACCTTAGCTGAATTATCTATACTCTCCAAGTTTAATTTCCTCATATCTACAGGGGAAAAATAACAATGTGTGCCTCATAGGGTTCTTATGCAGATTAAATGAAATAACGAAATTATTTAACCTAGTGCCCAAGAGCTAAAAGAATAGTGAGCTATTCTACTTTTATACCTGATAGCTAGAATACCCTAAGTTCTCTGCATGATCCAGGACCCAAGATGCTTTTATTTCATTCTATACTCACGTGGAACTTTCATTGTATGGTGTCCGATCTACCCATTGCCAATGTCGCTGACCTTCTGGATCTGAGAGCCCCACAAAATAAGCAGATTCTTCTTGCAGATTCTGGAAGATGAAATCCTGAGGGGGGGAAAGAAGGAGTCACAGCCTTTACAGTATTTTTTACAGCTCGAACTGAATTCTTAATACCTTAGAGAAACGAGAAGAAAAGGAGAGGATCCAGCAACAGCCACATTTTTTTTTTTTTTTTTTTTTTTTTTTTTTTGAGATGGAGTCTCACCTTCTATCCCAGGCTGGAGTGCAGTGGTGCAATCTTGGCCCACTGCACCTCTGCCTCCCAGGCTTAAGCAATTCTCATGCCCCAGCCTCCCCGGTAGCTGGGACTACAGGCGTGTGCCACCATGCCTGGCTAATTTTTGTATTTTTAGTAGAGGCAGGGTTTCACCATTTTGGCCAAGCTGGTCTTGAATTCCCAGCCTCAAGTGATCTGCCTGCCTTGACCTCCCAAAGTGCTGGGATTACAGGCATGAGCCACCATGCCCGGCCAGTATGGAAGCAATTTCTATGATCAGAATGAATTCTCATCTTAGGTTTACTTCCCCTCTTTCCTTCACTAAGAGATTACATTCTTCAAAGTTGCACACGAGAAACTTTTGGCAGATTCAGTCATTTTCCTTTCATAACTTCAGGAATTATTTATTTTCACTCCTGAGTATTGATTGTGATTCATCATGAGTTAACTTTCTTTTCTCTTTTCAACCTAATACCACTTATCTGTTAAATAGTTTACATATTGAAATAACAAATTGATATTTCAGACTGAAACATTTTCATCCTTCCATTCAACCCTCATATATTTTTAATGCCACAGTTTCTTTCGGGGAGGTTAGTTTTACTGAAGCAGGAAGAAGGTATGGAATATAAAGGCTTAGGAGCCCTTTCTATTTATCTTATTTAAAGCCTTCTGCCACAGCACAAATATCCCAAAGTAGCAAAAACCTCCTTCGCAGCCAAGACAGATACACAAAGATCAGGCAGGGCTCACAGCCCCATTATCTATTAGAAAGTACCTGCTCTTCTCGAGTGTTTATCACCAGCAGGTGAGCCTCCATTCTAGCGCAGTCCTTCTCACTCTTTTGCCAAGATGCTGATTCAGTAGAAATAAAGTAGCAGTTGGAACTAAACGGCTTCCAATTCTTTGGGCAACAGCTCCAGGCTGTCTCTGTATTGGGAAGAGGTGCACATACTTGCAGTATAAATAATCACTTTTAAAAGTGTGTATATTATTAAAATTAAGAGCCAAAGGAGAACACATGGAAGCTGGAACTCCCATCCCCACTCAGATGTAACCAGGAGCCCCTGCCCCTCAGGCGTCAAGGAAGCCAAGTCCACCTCAGTCAGGCAGTGGTGAGGCAGAGCCTCTTTTCTCTTGCTGAAGTGCTATCTGAAAAGGACAGCTCTTAATGAAACATGTTTAAATAAGATCCAGACTCTCAGAATATAATGCAAAAATGTCCGAAGTTCAATAGAAAATAACTCATTATGCTAAGAACCAGTAAGTTTTCAAATTTAATAAAAAATAATAATCAATAGATGCCTACAATCAAGACAACAAAAATGGGGCCGGGCATGGTGGCTCACACCTGTAATCCCAGCTCTTTGGAGGCTGAGACAGGAGAATCGCTTGAGCCCAGAAGTTCAAGACCAGCCTGGGCAACACAGTGAGACCCTGTCTCAAAAAAAAAAAAAAGACAACAAAAATGTTAGAATTATCTGACAATGATTTTAAAGCAGCCGTGATAAAACAAAAATGCTTCAACAAGAAGATACAAACATGCTTGAAACAAATGAAACACTAGAAAGTTTCAGCAAAGAAATAAAAGATATAAAGAAAAACCAAATGGAAATTTTATAATTGAAAAATATAATAACCAAAGTAAAAAGCTCAGTGGATGGACTCAATAGCAGAATGAAGGGGATAGAGAGATTAGTGAATTGGAAGACAAAACAATCTGTCAACTGAACAACAGAAACAAACTAGACAGAAAAGGCTGGACACAGTGGCTCATGCCTGTAATCCCAGCACTTTCAGAGGCCGAGGTGGGCGGATCACCTGTGGTCAGGAGTTCGAGACCAGCCTGGCCAACATGGCAAAACCCTGTCTCTAAAAAAAAAAACCTGTACTAAAAATACCCAAAAAAAGGCTGGGTGTGGTGGCTTACACCTGTAATCCTAGAACTTTGGGAGGCCAAGGTGGACGGATCACCTGAGATAAGGAGTTTGAGACCAGCCTGGCCAACATGGTGAAACCCCATATCCACTAAAAATACAAAAATTAGCCAGGCATAGTGGCGCATACCTGTAATCCCAGCTCCTCAGGAGGCTGAGGCAAAAGAATCACTTGAATTCAGGAGGCAGAGGTTGCAGTGAGCCGAGATTGTACCACTGCACTCCAGCCTGGGCGACAGAGTGAGACTCCATCTCAAAATAAATAAATAAAAATAAACAGAACCTTGTAAAGTGACCCCAAATGTGTACATATCAAACAAAGCTGCAAAATCTATAAAGCAAAACTGATACAATTGAAGGGAGGAATTGAAAAATATACAATTACAGGTGGATACATCAACACCTCTCTCTTAACAATTGACGGAATCACACAGAAAATCAGCAAGAACATAGAACTTAAAAACATCATCAACTACAAGGATCTAATCCACATTTATAGAACACTCCACCCAACAACCGAATACCCATTCTTTTCCAGTGCCCCTGGAACATATGCTAAAACAAACCATATCTTGGGACATTAAATAACCTCAACAAATTTAAAATTGCTGAAATCATATAGCCAACCACAGTGAAAACAAACCAGAAATTAATAAAAGAAATAACACAGGAAAATCTCCATACACTTGAAACTAAACAACACACTTCTAAATAATCCATGAATCAAAGGAGATGTCTAAAGGGAAATTTTTAAAAATACATTGAACTGAATGAAAATGACATTACAGATTATCAAAATTCATAAGATACTCTTCTTCAATCAAAGGAACTAGGGCTCCTCAAAGAAATATCTGATTCTAGGATAGGGACATGAAATGTACAATGTGAGTCTCCAGCATTTTCAGTCCCAGAAAGTGAGGAAGTGCTAAACCAAAACAAAAGAAAAAACACATTCTGGTGATACGTTAAAGGGTCACAGGAGTCAAATGAAAGAGTTCCCAATGTCCAAAGCTGGAGCCACAAAATAAAGTAGTATTGGATTATAAACCAAAATTTAAAATAAATATCCATGAGTTGGACACACGGTGGGGAACAACACACACTGGGGCCTGTGGTGGAGGGAGCACGCTGGGAGAGGGAGAGCTTTAGGAAGAATAGCTAATGGATACTGGGCTTAATACCTGGGTGATGGGTTGATCCGTGTAGCAAACCACCATGGCACACATTTACCCATGAAACAAACCTGTATGTACTGCACATGTACCCCTGAACTTAAAAGTTGAAGAAATATATATATATATATCCATGAGTACATGCAGATATAAATAAATGATTGGATAAATAAATGGAATAAAAGAGACAAATATCACCTGGACAAAATTTCAAATAAATTATATATGTACGTGTGATGGCTAATTTTATGTGTCAACTTATCTGGGCCACAGTACCCAGATATTTGGTCAAACATTCTGGATGTTTCTGTGAAAATGTTTTTGGATGAGATTTACATTTAAATTTGCTGGACCTAGAGTAAAGCAGATTGCCTTCAGTAATGTAAGTAGACTTCATCTAATCAGTTGAAGATCTGAATGGAACAAAAAGAGGACCTCCTCTGAGCAAGAGGAAACTCGGTGGACCACCTTTTCACTTCATCTGCAGCACTGGCTCTTCAAGGTTCTGCAGCAGATGGTCTTTGGACTTAAACTGCAACTCTTACTCCTGAGTCTCCAGCCTGCTGACCATGACTGATACCATACTCCACCTCATGAAAGGAGAGCATAACTCCCCAATCCTTAAGTGTGGACTGAACCTTCCAAAGAGTGTAGTATGGAAAGGGGCAGGGAGGGAAAGAGTAACTTTATAGTGGAGAAACTTGACAAACACTACCTTAGCCAAGTGACCATCAATAGCCAAGAATCCTTTTGATAATATATGCCCTTGATGTGATGTAATGAAAATAGCATTTTACATCTGTGATCTTCCTCCCAAAAACCAATAATCGCAGTCTAATTATTAGAAAAACATCAGACAAATTCCGATAGATGGACATTCCACAATATAGCTGACCAGTATTGCTCAAAACTGTCAGGGTCATCAAATATGAGGAAAATCTGAGAAACTACCACAGCAAAGAGGTGCTGAGAACAGGAGACATGAGACATGAGAACTCAATGTAATGTGGTGTTCTGGATGGGGATCCTATTGCAGAAAAGAAACATGAGGTGAACACTAAAGAAACCTGAAAATTGTGAATTTTAATTAATAATAATATACCAATATTAGTTAATTAGTTGTAAGAAATATACCATGTTCGTGTAAGATGTTAACAACAGGGGACAGCATGTGTGCAGAGCAGGGGTAAAATGAGATCTCTTTGCATTATCTGCTCAAGTTTTCTGTGAATATAAAACTGTTCTTAAAAATAACCTATTAGCCAGGCACGGTAGCTCACTCCTGTATTCCCAGCACTGGGAGGCTGAGGTGGGAGGATTGCTTGAAGCCAGGAATTCAAGGCCAGCCTGGGCAACATGGCAAGATCCTCTCTCTACAAAGATTCAAAAAATAAAAATAAAATAGCCAAGCATGGTAGTTGGCACCTTTGATCGCAGCTACTGGGAGGCTGAGGTGGAGGATTACTTGGAACCCAGGAGATCAAGGCTACTGTGAGCTGTGGTCACACTACTGCATTCCAGCCTGGAAAACAGAGTGAGATCCTGTCTCAAAAATAATAATAATAATAATAATCCATTAATTTAAAGAATTTAAATAGCCGGGCGCGGTGGCTCAAGCCTGTAATCCCAGCACTTTGGGAGGCCGAGACGGGCGGATCACGAGGTCAGGAGATCGAGACCATCGTGGCTAACACAGTGAAACCCCGTCTCTACTAATAAGTACAAAAAAACTAGCCGGGCGAGGTGGCGGCGCCTGTAGTCCCAGCTACTCGGGAGGCTGAGGCAGGAGAATGGCGTAAACCCGGGAGGCGGAGCTTGCAGTGAGCTGAGATCCGGCCACTGCACTCCAGCCTGGGTGACAGAGCCAGACTCCGTCTCAAAAAAAAAAAAAAGAATTTAAATAATTCACATCCATAAAAAAATCATCATCACATTTTCATCACATGGTTCTAACTGATATGTGAGAAAAAAAGCAAATGTGTATAGAAAGTTCAGAAAGAAGCAAAGGTTGAAGACGTCTAAAAGCAATGTAACCTTTTTCACAATTAAGCTTCTATTTTTTACCATAGACAAACTAAAGATATATGAGTACATAAAAAGAATTTTAGGACCAGGCACCGTGGCTCACGCCTATAATCCCAGCCCTTCAGGAGACTGAGACAGACAGATTAGCTTAGGAGTTCAAGATCAGCCTGGGCAACAGGGTGAAACCCCATCTCTACAAAAAATACAAAAACTAGCTGAGTGTAGTGGCATGTGCTTGTAGTCTCAGCTACTCAGGAAGCTGAAATGGGAGGATCACTTGAGCCCAGGAGGTTGAGGCTGTAGTGAGCTGTGTTTGCACTACTGCACTCCAGCCTTGGCAACAAAGTGAGACCCTGTCTCAAAAAAACAACAACAAAAGAATGTTATGTCCTATATATTTGCTTTCTGTTTTTTGGTTTTGGGTGTTTTTGTTTGTTTGCTTGTTTGTTTTTGTTTTTGAGATGGAATCTTGCTCCCTCGCCAGGCGGAGTGCAGTGGTGCGACCTCGGCTTACCGCAACCTCTGCCTCCCGGGTTCAAGCGATTATCCTGCCTCAGCCTCCCGAGTAGCTGGGATAACAGGTGCACGCCACCACACCCAGCTAATTTTTGTGCTTTTAGTAGAGACGGGGTTTCACCATGTTGGCTAGGATGGTCTCCATCTGTTGACCTCGTGATCCACCCACCTCAGCCTCCCAAAGTGCTGGGATTACAGGCGTGAGCCACCACGCCTGGCATTTCCTATATGTTTGTATATTTGTAGCTTAAATTATTGTGAGACTCAACTTCTCAGTATGATCTACCTGGGAATCTTACTGGAAATACTGATTTGGGATCCCTACATAGTATAGTCAGCAACTGAATTCTAGGCACATTAACTTTTACCTTCCGTGGTCATATTTTTTTTCACACACTCCAATGTTGTATGAACCAGGTCTTTCGTAGTCATTTTTTCAAGAAGCTGAGAATATTTTTGAAAGAAAACTGGAAAAGAGAATAAAGACCATTTATTTTCCTGGTAGCATTATGACTTTGCTCTTTATCGTTACTTTCTTGCATTCTTTATTGAAACAAAACTTACAAGTGCCGTATTACTTGAGTAGAGGGAAAAGATTTCCCATTTTGAAACTATAGATATCTCTAGGAATAGCTAAAAGATCAGTAGTTGGAAGGGGACACAACAGTTCCATCATAATGGATCTAAAGTCCCCCCACATTCTCCTTCAATACTTAATATAAGATACACGCAAAGGCAAACTCTTGGGGGTGGAGGGACGGAGGGCAATAAACACTTATATTTAGGGATGTGCACACCCTGGGACTCTGGAGCGGAGGGGAGAGGGGCAAATTAATTCTGAGGAGTTCTGGGTTACCTTGGACAATGGAGAATTTTAAAAAGAACCCCACATGAATCAAGAGCGCATGATTTTCTTCCTCTTCTCTCCATTACTCTCTCCATCCCAACTGGCTCTTACTCCTCAGCACACCAACGCTCCCATGTTTCTCCCAATTTAAAACTAACCCACCTCTCCCTCTAGAAACTGAACTTTTGGGCGGGCACGGTGGCTCACGCCTGTTATCCCAGCACTTTGGAAGGTCAAAGAGGGTCAGGAGTTCGAGACTAGCCTGGCCAAGATGGTGAAACCTCGTCTCTACTAAAAATACAAAAATTAGCTGGGCGCAGTGGCAGGTGCCTATAATCCCAGCAACTTGGGAGGCTGAGGCAGGAGAATTGCTTGAACCTGGGAGGCGGATGTTGCGGTGAGCCGAGATCGCGCCGCCGCACTCCAGCCTGGACGACGGAACAAGACTCCATCTCAAAAAAAAAAAAAAAAAAAAGAAACTAAACTTTTTCTCTTTCCTCCCTACCTTTCATTTGCTCCTTGACCCATCATATTCTGGGTTTTACTTCACTATTTCACTAAAACCACCCCTAAAATGGATCCTCAGTAATATCCTAGGGTTACTTAGTCCTTTTCCTATTTGACTTCCTTAAAGGCTTGACCCCAGTTATCTTTCCCCTTAGCTCTTGGGACACTACTCTCTGTTGTTTTTGTCTTACCTTTCTTGCTGCTGCTTCTTTTACTCTTCTGTAGGCCCCTTTTCCTCCATCCATCTCATTTAAAATGTAACATATCCCAGAGTTCCATCCTTATCCCTCTTTCTTATACTAAGTTATCTCCCTGAGTGATATTATATATTCTCATGGCATCACCTGCTACCTCTATGTGAAGGACTTCCAAAGCTCAGACCTCTCCCCCTAAATCCAGACAAATGGACCAGCAGACATGTCCATTTGAGGTTCTCACAGTCATGTAAAACTCAACATGCCCAAAACTTAAGTCACCATCTTCCAACCCAAACCTGCTACTGATCCTATATTGTCTACCTCTTTGAAAAACTTAATGATTTCTGAGTTTACAAAGTCAGAATATTGGAGCCACACTTTACTTCTCTAGGTCCCTTATTTCCCAGAACTGAATATTCATCAAACCTCTACCTCCTTTATCATTCAAAACTACTTCATCTTCTCTTTTTGCGCTAACACTAGCCATAGACCAGTCTGACAATATTTCTCAATTGAATTAGCGAATTATCCTTCTAACCTCTCTTTCCCTCCAAATTTGTCCTCATATATCCATTTTCCACACCTCTGTCAACATGCTATTTCTTTTTTTTTTTTTTTGCTTTTAAAAACATTTTATTTTGTTATTTATTATGTTATTATTTGTTGATGTTTTAGCTATTGCATATTTATGTGTTTTCATTTCTTTCAATCGATTTTCTTTGAATCTTTATACATCATTACTACTTTTGGTGTAATTTATTCCACTTTGGGCACTTCTTCATAAGTCCAATCCGATTATATCAATTCCCTGCTTAAAATTCGTCGATTTTAAAAATTGCAAAAATGGCCACAACTTTCAACATTCCCTGGATCTACACTGTTTTGCAATGTGATTTTGCAGTTTCTTCATTTAAGAGACGTGGTCTATTTCTCCACTGCCTGGATCTGGGCTGCTTGTCAGACTTCTTTTGGCCAAGGTGAGTTCTGTGCTAGTTCCAAGGTGAGACTTCAAAAGGCATTGCTTACTTCAACTTTCAGTCTTAAAAGCCTGCCAGTTGCCATGTGAACAAACCCAGGCTAGCCTGATGAATGATAAGAGAAATGTGGCCAAATCTCTCCCGCCATTCCAGCTAACATCCTCTTCCTCAGAAGCTAAGTTGCCTGTGGCCAGTACCCTACCACATATACATAAGTGAGTTCAGCCAGGACTCAGGGAATCTCCCAGCTGATGCCAGTCTCAATTGCCAAGCCACAGATGTATGAGCTAAATAAATAGTTGCTGTTTTAATCCACTATGTTTTAGATTGGCTTATTCACCAGCAAAGGATAATTGATAAAATAACCTTTAGGAGGGAAAAAAATCCAAACTCTTTATCATGATATACAGTGCTCTTCATGGTCTGAGTCCTGTTTATTTCTGTCACCTACAACTTCATTTCTTAGTTCTTTACTTAGCGCCATATGTTCCAGTCATGCATACTTATGTTTCCCCAAATTCCACACTCTCTCATCTCTAGTTCATTCTTGGTATACACAGCTCTAGATGTCACCTCCTCCAGGAAGCCTACCTCAGCCTCTTGCACTTATTATACTTCTTAACTGCACAACACTTACCATACAATGTTATAACCGCTGGTTCATTTTACCATTCTCTAAATTTCTTGAGACCAGGTGCTGTGGCTCTGTCTTGACTCTCTGTCTGGCACAGTGCCTGACATACAGTAGATGGACAATACTTACAAAATGACCAAAGAAATTAATAGAGAATCTACCTAAATGTACACTAGTTTTGATGCCTTTTAAAAATTTGGGGCCAGGTGTGGTGACTCATGCCTGTAATCCCAGCACGTTAGGAGGCTGAGACGGGCAAATTGCTTGAGCCCAGGAGTTCAGGACTAGGCCAGGAAACATGAGAAAACCCTGCCTCTACTAAAAATACAAAAAAAAATTAGCTGAACATGGTGACGCACACCTATAATCCCAGCTACTTGGGAGGCTGGGGTACGAGAATCGCTTGAACCTGGGAGGTGGAGGTTGCAGTGAGCCAACACTGCACCACTGCACCCCAGTCTGGCTAACAGAGCAGAGGGGAAGAACCCAACAAATGCTGAAAGCCAAAGATATGCAGCAATCCACCTAATTTGCTAAATTGGCTTTTAGATCCCACACAGTCTTGAGTAGGACAGGAATAATCAGAGTAAAAGTCAGTAGAGAACTCCTCCTGAAATATGTCTTCCCATCTCCTTGTTGTCTACCTGCTCATCCCAAAAGATAAGTGTCTGTGCATTCAAATAATACTGGCCTGATAAATGCTACCAAGGAAATACAGATTTGTCCTCACTTACGTAGTGTCTAGTATAGAGATGATGCCCCATAGATTTCACTCTGTAATACAAATACATACACCCACATTTATGCTTCAGTTTCTCTAAATGAGAATGGATTCCATTATTTTTACAAGACAGTAACTAAATCCAAATAAAGAGTAAAATTCACAGTGGATTCCCATGAATTATGTCTCCCCAGAGAAAATTTCACTTCGGATTTCTGGATAAACTCATTTTCAAAAGTCAATTTTTAAAAGATACCCTCTCTTCATGTGCAGCAGGTATTGCTTATTGGTTCGGTTGGCATACTTACTGAAAAAAGCAAAAAAGAATGAGATTGCCAATAGCAGGAAAAGTATCATCAATGAGGCACAAAGCAGCTTGGAAAACCCGGTATTACTTTTGTGAGGGGCAGTCCTTTTCTTGGAAGCTGAAGAAGAAGCCAAATTAGTTTTATCAGTAATAAGTTCTGTCTTTACTTCCTCTTCTTCCTCCTCCTCCTTCCCTTTTCTTGGATGACACACAGTAACTAACGGTATGACATTTGAAATCACATGAGAACAGGAATAGAAAGGCTATAATATTCACTTTAGAAACTTTAGAAAATATATAAAAATACAAATTCCTACCATTGAGGATAACTGTTATGCCATATAAGTTATAATGCACCATAATATTTTGATATAATCTTTCTAGCAATTTTATGAATGTATATATACATATATGCAAATTTTCCCACATGATTGATATACCATAAATACTGATATCTGACCTATTCTTTTCCTTACACTGTATCATGAACATTTTTCATACCCTTATATTTTCTTCTTTAACGCTCCTTATTATGGTTGCATAGTATTTCATCATATATTTAAATAATAGATTGTTTCCAACTTTAAATAATGCTATAGCAAATAAATTTTTATAATCATCCATGGTTACCATCTCATGGTTAGAAATTGCTTTCTTAAAGTTATGATATTTTGTAAAATGATGGGGGGAAAATCTTCAGTATTATATAATATGATTACATTTTCAGTAAAATACATATGCACATGATATGTATTTGTATGTGGAAGGATATTCACTAAATTGCAAATTATGATTGTCTCTAGATGATAAGAGTAATTATAATTCAAATATCTGTGTACCTCTGGCTAATTTATTCTACAATGAACATTAAAACTTGTGTAATAAAGAAATTATACAAAGTTTTTAAGGGGAAAAAATTTCCCTAAGTGCTCTCCACACCTTCACAGAGATATTTTAGAAAGCATAACTATAGTCCTGACCCCTTCCCCCATAGTTTCTTGTACTCTATATACATTCTTTTCTCTCTTTTGCTCTATACTTGGGATATCACACATGACACCCAAATTACCTTGCATCTACTCCCAAACGTAACAGAGTCTGTCTCAGAGATGCAACATGCAATAAGTTCTCTGATTTCAGAAAAAGTTTCCTGGAGATTTAAGAGACTTTCTTTGTAGACTTTCTAGTCTTTCATTTGCAATGGCCTTTTGTTACATTTCCATCCATCACCAACAAATATTCCCTCACCACTGTCCACCCAAACTCCTTCCCTCTAACTGATCAAAAAACAAATCTCACAAATTCATCAGGACCCCCTGCATCTGGGTTGATGGTTTCAGAAGCTGTATTCAACCTCTTAACCCCAGCCCCACTCAGCCTTAGAAAACACAGGGGCATCAGAGCACTCGCCCTAGCTCAGAACTGGCATTGATTTCTCTCACCTCTATTTCAGTAAGCAGAGTGGAGGCTGAAGAGCGTGACACAAAATCTTTTGTTCTCCACACTACAAATGTACACCCCGTAATGTGTATCTGCAGGCTACTCAGTCTTCTGGGACTCTTGTGTTTCCCAGACATACTCAATCAGAGAACCAGCAACTCCCAACACCTAGGCCTTATTCATAAACCCTCTCCTCATCCTTCCTCTCATCATTCACTCTGACCCCCAGAAAACGATCTTTACCTGCAGAAGAGGCTGAGTCGATGCCTGAGAACTTGGATTCATTTTGGAACCTCACTTCAGCATAAGTGATTTCTGAAGTCATAATGGGAAGAGACCTTCTGCTTTCTTCAAAAAATTGGTTTCAAATCTTTCTTAAAACATCTTATAAATGAGAACCAAACATGGTGGTAGATTACCTCCTTCCTTTCACTCACCTAGAGGAGAGCAGAGGCACCAGATAGGCACATATCTTCAAGAAGGGTCTTTTGAGAACTAAGGATCACAATAAAAACCAAAAACCTCAGTTCACAGAGGCCCTTTCCTCAGGACCAGTATAGTGAGAATCACAGCCCTGAAACAAATGCAAGCAAATGTAATAAAAGTGGGAAACCAAAGGGTTGTGGAAACAGGAAGGAAAACAAAAGAGGAACCAAGCAATTAGAGAAGTCTTTCTTGAAAACTGTGTTCTTCACCAGTAAAAAATACAATTTGTGTGCTTCCACATGCAAATGTAATTACTTTTGACCAAATAACCTGAACAAAGACTTAGGTTGCATTCATCTTATCATTTTTGACTGATAGGCAACTTGTTAGTACCACATTCTAAGAATATAGACACAAAACTCACGTATCAGCCTCCCTACCTTCAAGAATCAGCTTCCTCTAGCATGGTGGGGAAGGCAAAGTTTAAACCGCATGCCTTCTGAAGCTGCTTCTCCATGCTCTCGGTGTTTCCTTGTTGGTAACTACTCTATCAAGAGTCTGCATTCATCTTGCTAGAATCTCCAGAAAGCAGCTCCCTTTATTGCATGCTGGAGGAGAGGGAAGGCCAGCCTTTATTCCACACTTTCCTAGCCTTTTAATCCTCACACCACCTCCAATATATATGACTATTTTTTATTTTATTTTATTTTATTTTATTTATTTATTTTTTTATTTTTTTTTTTTTTTTTTTTTTTTTGAGACGGAGTCTCGCTCTGTCGCCCAGGCTGGAGTGCAGTGGCCGGATCTCAGCTCACTGCAAGCTCCGCCTCCCGGGTTCCCGCCATTCTCCTGCCTCAGCCTCCCGAGTAGCTGGGACTACATGCGCCCGCCACCTTGCCTGGCTAGTTTTTTGTATTTTTTAGTAGAGAAGGGGTTTCACCGGGTTAGCCAGGATGGTCTCGATCTCCTGACCTCGTGATCCGCCCGTCTCAGCCTCCCAAAGTGCTGGGATTACAGGCTTGAACCACCGCGCCCGGCGACTATTTTTTAACAGTTAGGATAATTAAATAGAAACACAGTATAGAAGGGGATAAACTTGAAGTACAAAATATAACTTTTTCCAAAGGCCTAGAAGAAAACACTCCAAATATTAAATCCTTCCTGTGGAATCTCTCCATAGACATGCTCCCAGCTCACACCTGGATTCTCTGCCCTCAACTCTCCTCAAATGACCCTCCTTTTAATCTCCCTGAGCTGATTCCTTCTCCTGCATAGCATGTATGCACACACACACCCCTATATTTCTATATTATTTCTATATCTAAATATATTGAACACCAATATTCTATAATCTAAATATATTGAACACCATGAGTTCACACGAATTCCTCTAATTCCAATCTAACACCACAGGATTCATTCTAGTTTTCTCCCTTCCCACATTCCTAACTCCTTTCTGTGACAGTAAGAAACCTGCTTTCATTGTCTTTCACTTACTCCTTATTTGATCAGTCTCCTGGATGTCTTCAATCTCCCACCTGCTAAGATGTGCCTCTCTTCCTAGTTGGGCTGTAACTCCTCAGTCCAAGCCACCATCCCCTGCGCTGATGCCCTCCCTCCTCACTCTGAGGGTGCCGGCAAAGGGCCAGCCCACTCCCCACCCCCACGAACATCCCCCCACAAACATCCTCCTCACCCTGCCGAGGTTCTGACTCCCTGTGCTAGGCCACTCCTCTGCAGGAAAGCCCTCCTCACTCTGCTTGCGCTCTGATTCCTGATGCTGGTCCCCTAGTCACCACTTAGACCCCCTTAGGTTCTAATGCTCCACACAAGGTCACCCCATGGGTGGGAACCCTCCTCACCCTGGAGGGGTTTGACCTCCTTATTGGGTTATCCTACCACATGGACCACTTCCTTATCCTGCTAGGTTTCTGAAACCCACACCAAGTCTACCCTCTGCATAGAAGCTTTCTTCATCCTGCTTGGGCTCTGACACTCCATGCAGGTCCTCCATCCCCCAGCAACAATGTCCACCTTACCCTACTTAGGATCTGAGTTCCCTCACTGGGCTACCCCACCACATAGACACCCTCCTTATCATGCTTGGTCTCTGAAACTCACACCAGGTCTACCCTCTGCAAGGATGCTCTCTCTCCTCATCCTGCTTAAGTGCTGAGTCCCAACCCCAAAGGGGCCAACACTAGGCATGGGTGTCCTCCTCACCTCTCCCACATGCTGACATACATACCAGGCTGGCCCCAGAGTACTCTGCTTGCGACTCTGACTCCCTACAGAAGGTGACGTCATACATGGATGCCCTCCTCACCCTGTTTGCACTCCAGGTCACTACACCTGACTCTCCCACCACCTCTCAGGCTCTGACTTCTCACATCAGGCTACCCCTCCTATGGACACCCTCGTCGATCTTATCCTCTGACACCCTGCACTGGGCCATTGTCAGGAGTGGACATCTCCTCGCTCTGGCTCTCCATGTCAGAACGCTTTCCCACCCCCACGGGGTGTTCTTCTCACTCTGCTTGGGCTCCAGCACCACTGTCAGGCCAATACCCTGCAGAGTCACCCTTTTCACCCTGCTAAAGCTCTCACCCTGTGCCAGCCAGGCCACTCCTGCTCTCCCAGCCACCTTAACACAGACACCTCTCTTGCTACTGCTTTGTTTAGAATCGAATTATTTAGTAAGAAAAGGGAAAGGGGAATGGCAAAGCATAAGGGAAGGATAAGAGAAATTTAAGTTCTCCACAATTAATTATTGGACCTAACCAGCATGTGCACGTAGACAGGTATACATGCACACATACTCCCTGAAATAATGATCATTGATTCTCAGAGGCTTTACAGTCTAAGCTCATAATTAGAAAGCAAACCATATTCCTAAAATTATAGCTCTCTCCCTGGAATAAGTCACGTTATAACTGGATTACACTGTATCACCAACAACCCCAAAATCCAAGTGGCTTACAACATAAACATGTATTTCTCACTCACATTGCACATGTGCTTAGGGTCACCATGGAGCTGACTGCAACTCTGCTTGGCTCCTTTCCAAGTGTTTTCTCATTCTGGAAGCTGAGATCACAGAATAACTCCTCGTAAGCTGAACCATGTAGTAGCATCCTTTATTCAGATAAGGTGTACATTATATTTGCTCTGATTCTGTTGGCCAATGCGAGTTATCTGTAAGCGAGACAGGGAAATATACTTTGTCTACAGAAAGACATGTCAAGGGTATCAAAGTTTAATCCTTTCACAAAGGAGAACATAAACATTTGGAAACAATAATAGAATCTACCCCCCATCCCTTTAAATTATTTATCCAAGAGATCTCTTGGGCAGTGATCTCCAAAATAGGGTGCAAGTACTTTAGGCAGTATAAAAGAGGATCTGCTAAGGCACAGAGATAAAACACTAAACATCTATTTATACTGACTTAAAGTTTTAAGGAAGATAAGCTTTACTAGTATTGATTGCATGTCATGTGTGGTATGGCACCTATTATGAGGGAAGACTGGAAGTTCCACAACTCTGAGAGGTTGACCGTGTGCCTTCACTTGTTCGTTTACTCTCTGAATATTGTATCCTGCTGCAGTTAACCTGGGTAGTAAAGAATTTGCCTCGATTTTATCCCCACTTCCTGGGAGGTAGCCTTTAAATCCTTGGAATTCTCTAAGTAATAGGATCGTCTTTGTTATTCATGGTGGGCCCGATGAGGTCTCTCATGATGGGCTCCAAGATAGTTTATGCTAAGAAGGTGATTCAGGATGGGGCTGGCCATGCTGGAAAGACCAGCCATGTGACTGGAGCACTGGGACCTTGAGCCGTGTTATATCAGCCCAGGTGGGGAAGGGAAGCTAGAGACTGAGTTCAACTTGTGACCAATGGTTCAATCAATCATGCCTACATAATGGACCCCAATAAAAACTCTGGACATTGAAGCTCCCCTGATTGGAATACTCTGCATATTATCACACATTAAAGTTCTAAGAAAGTGATATATCTATGGGGTCAATGGAAATTTCCATTTAGGACTCTCTCAGGCCTTACCCCATGCATCTCTCCCTCTGGCTGGTTCTGATTTGTATCCTTTTGCTATAATAAAACTGCAGTCATAAGCATGACACTATCCTGAGTTCAGTGAGTCATTCTAATAAATCATAAAACCTGAAGTGATCACAGGTATCCCCAAATTTGTAGTCAGTTGATCAGGAGTGAGGACACCCCTGGAAACCCCTGAACTTGTGGCTGGTATCTGAAGTAATGGCAGTCTTATGAAGGCCATGCCCTCAACCTGTGAAATTTGGCCTAAGTCCAGGCAGTTGATATCAGAAGTCAATTTAATAGCTCAGTATTGTTAGTTTTATGAAAACAAAATATTTGTTAGACTATTTATATTGATATGATGGCAAGTGACCATTTTGTTCACTGTGAAAGTAATCTCAGTATTTGGAAGTAAGGATGGAGTAAATAGGGCACTTTTATTTTTAAAGTTTTTTTACTGTTTGATATTTTATAAGCATGTATTTCTTTCATAATAAAAAGACACAGGCTAGGCACGGTAGTTCACGCCTGTAATCCCAGCACTTTGGGAGGCCGAGGTGGGTGGATCACCTAAGGTCAGGAGTTCGAGACCAGTCTGACCAACATGGTGAAACCCCATCACTACTAAAAATACAAAATTAACCAGGTGTGGTGGTGCATGCCTGTAATCCCAGCTACTAGGGAGGCTGAGGCAGGAGAATCACTTGAACCTAGGAGGCAGAGGTTGCAGTGAGCCGAGATCGCACCGTTGCACTCCAGCCTGGGCAACAGGAGTGAAGCTCTGTCTCAGAAAACAAAAGTAAACAAACAAAAAAATCTATCTTATTTTCACCAAAGATGAGACTAAGACCATTTCTGCAGCAAGACTAGTTAATTCAGCTGGTATAGTATTTTGTTCAGAGGAACTGCCTAAGAAAACAGATCTTTTGTGTCTGGATTCTTTCATTTAGCGTAGTGTTTTTGAGGTTCATCCGTGTTATAGCTCAAATCAGTTTCTCAGTCCATTAGTGTTGTAACAACAAAATACCTGAGACTGGGTAATTTATAAGGAAGAGAAATTTATTTTCTCAGTTCTGGAGGCTGGGAAGCCCAAGATCAAGGTACCAGCATGTTCAGTTACCTGGTGATGATTGTATCTTCTAAGGGGAGGAACTCCATGTCTTCACATGACAGAAGGCAGATGGGCAAGAGATAGACCAGCAATGCATGATACCTGTTTTATAGGCGCCTTAATTCCATCCGCAAAGCCCTCATGGCCTAACCACCTCTAAAAGGGCCCATCTCTTAATATCATCACACTGGCAATACCTGAGTTTTGGAGGATGATGTGGTTTGGATCTGTGTCCCCACCAAATCTCACATCAAATTGTAATCCTCGGTGTTGGAGGTGGGCCTGGTAGGAGGTGACTGAATCATGGGAGTAGATTTCCCCCTTGGTAGTATCCTCGCCATAGTGAGTTCTCATGAGATCTGGTTGCTTAAAACTGTGCGGCACCTCACCCCTCTCTCTCTTCCTCCTGCTCTGGTCGTGTGAAGTGTCTTGCTCCCACTTTGCCTTCCACCGTGATTGGAAGCTTCCTGAGGCCTCCTCAGTAAGCAGAAGCTGCTATGCTTCCTGTATAGCCTGCAGAACTATAAGCCAATGAAACCTCTTTTCTTTATGAATTACCTAGTCTCAGGTTTTCTTTATAGCAGTGCAAGAATAGACTAACACAGAGGGGGACACATTTCAACCACAGCAATCAGTAATTCAATCTTTTTTATGGACAAATAATATTCCACTGTATGTTGAATCTCACCCTGACAATGTAAATTATTAGCTTATCTTCACAGGTAGAAGACAAGAATAAGACTAGACATCATCCCTCTGTCTACTCCCAGATGAATGCATAAATGACTTTTCCTTTACTCCTACTTTTCACATGTGAAATGTAGATTCACTGAGTGCTAATCAGAGCCTCACAAGAAAGTAACCACCTGCCTCCTTGTCTACTCTGCCTTGTCCCTTACCTCCTTCCCCTCCTGCTTGCTCTTTTCCCTTAACATACTGAAGTCCTCAAAATCCTCTTCGGAAAAAGCACCGATCGCAGATGCTTCTGTCATTTGTGTTTAATTCCTGGGCACGTCCTCAACCTTGGCAAAATAAACATGTAAATCAGTTGAGACCTGCCTCAGTCACTTGTTTACACAAGGAATGGTTGTCATTCTTTTTGGCATCTAACTCTCCTTATGTTTGAAGAATATTCCCACTTTATGAAACAGAGCCCTTCATATTCTACAACAGCTGCAAATCCAGGTATTTGCTTTCAGAAACTGTACCATAAATACTTGAAAGCTACAGACCTTCAGGGAAATAGAGGAAATTTGAGATTTATTATCCAATCTGGCTGAAGCTGAGAAAAGAGGAAGTACTACTAGTATTAACAGATGGGACTTGGTAGTCCTTGTCATGCAATGACAAAATAGGCAAATTGAAACACATTATCACCTCAAACAAAGTTCCCATTGGAGACAAGCCTTTAAGAGCCCAAGCAGGCCAGGAGCATTGGCTCACACCTGTAATCCCAGCACCTTGGGAGGCCAAGGCAGGTGGATCGCCTGAGGTCAGGAGTTCGAGACCAGCATGGCCAACATGGTGAAACCCCATCTCTACTAAAAATACAAAAATTAGCCAGGTGTGCTGGTGAGCACCTGTAATCCCAGCTACTTGGGAGGCTGAAGCAGGAGAATCACTTGAACCCAGGAGACAGAAGTTGCAGTGAGCCAAGATAGTGCCACTGAGCCTGCATGACACAGCGAGACTCCACTTCAAAAAAAAAAAGAGCCCAAGCAACCCCAAGGGAAAGAATTTAAGAACTGTAGAGTAGAATAGTTGCTTCTTATGGCACTGGATAACCCAAAGGAAGAGAGTAACAAATTCAATAGATCCTAAATTCTTGGCCCAAGGTAAAAACTGAAAACTAGAATTTCTATAACTGTATTAAAAGAATTCTTTATTGCTTGTAGCTGCAGGTTGAAGAGGCCAAAAACCAAAGTTTTCGTTGGACTCTATGGTTAAATATTGCAAATCCAGTTGAATTCAAGCTTTGCTATGTCTCTTAAGTGAAAACGAGAGGCTTGATTGTGATAAAATGTGATCTCAAGAACTGATAAAGAAATATATGGAGGATACTCATATATTGCCCAAAGCATCACAAACATTCCAAGTCCACGAAGTTTCCTGTCCCCACAAAAGCAGCAGGTATAGTGAGAGCCTGAAGTCACCCTCTGGTTATCTCCCAAATTCCTGTTGTCCAGAATCCCCACACTATCTCCCTGACCTGTGAAGCAAGGTCCATTATGATGGAAAACCAAATTGAAGTTCTGAACTTCCCCTTCCTAGTAAAATAAAATCAAAAGCAGTAAAGCATCTATAATGAAATCACAAAGATTAGTACAACTAGCAAAGGATTCAAAACTGAAGCATAAGCAATTCCTGTTATATTCTTGATTTAAGTCACTCATCTTGCCCATACAGATGGGTCATAAAGAATGGTAGTAGATGACCATTCATTTAATCAGGGGGTGACTCCAATTGTAGCTGCTTTCCAAATGCAAGGTCTAGAGCAAGTCAATACAGCATTTTGCGCTTAATATAAACCTAGTAATGGCCAGGTACAGTGACTCACGCCTGAAATCCTCACAATTTGGGAAGCCGAGACAGAAGGATCACTTGAGTCCAGATCTTTGAGACCAGCCTGGGCAACATAGTAAGACCCCACCTCTACAAAAATGAAAAACAAAAATTAGGCCGGGTGCGGTGGCTCACACCTGTAATCCTAGCACTCTGGGAGGCCGAGGCAGATGGATCATTTGAGTTCAGGAGTTCAAGACCAGCCTGGCCAACACAGTGAAATCCTATCTCTACTAAAAATACAAAAATTAGCCAGGCAGTAGTGGCACGTGCCTGTAATCCCAGCTACTCAGGAGGCTGAGGCAGGAGAATCGCTTGAGCCTGGGAGGCAGAGGTTGCAGTGAGCCAAGATCACACCACTGCACTCCAGTCTGGGTGACAGAGTGAGATCCTGTCTCAAAAAGTATATATATATATTAAAAATTAGCCAGGCGTGGTGGTACACACCTATAGTCCCAGCTCCTTAGGAGGCTGAGGTGGGAGGATCACTTGAGCCCAGGAGGTGGAGGCTGCGGTGAGTTGTGATCGTGTCACTGCACTCCAGCCTGGACAACAGAGCAAGACTGTCTAGAAAAAATTAAATATATATCTATATGACATATATGTATACTATCTGGTGGATATTATTTCTTCCAGTTAATAAATAAGCTAAAAATCGTAATCAAATTGCTTTTCTCCTGGCAGAAACAACATACCTTCATCATCTTCAGGCCTATATAACTCTTCAGATCTATATAACTCTTTCAATCTGGCCTACCATTTATCCTGCAGAAAACTTAAACATCTCACCATTTTACAGGATATCCTGCTGGTTCACTCCATTGATGATATCCTACAGATGCTACAAGGAAAGTAGGACAATATGGTACCCTAAATGCCTTGGTAAGCCTCATGCCATTGAAGTCTTGGTCTATCAGGCAGTGGTTCTCAGTGTGGTCCTAAACCAACAGTATCACCTGGGAACTTGTTAGAAATGCATATTCTTAGGTTCCACCTTAGATGTACTGAATCCATAATTTTGAAGATGGGGCCCAAAAATTGGTGTTTTAACCAGTCCTTCAGTTGACTCTGATTGATGTCTGGAGCACTTAAATATCCCCTCCAAAATATCAAATAATTTGCCATTTTAAAAGGCAGGATTCATAGGCCTCTCTGAATTTTTAAGGCAATATATTTCACATTTGAGTGTTCAAACATATTTGCTAGAAAACTGAAAACCCTCCAGGATTTGGTGACATACTGAAAAGGCTGTTCAGGTGGTCCAGGCCACAGGTAGAGAGTCTGCACTTAGCCCTAACAAATTAGTGGCGCTTGAACCCTCTTTGGCAAATCCATGTAGATTGGAGCCTAAAGCAAACCAACCTGGAGATTGGTAGGAGAATTCAAAGGAGGCCAGTAGGATACTTTAGATAAAGTCATTCCCTCTCAGCAAGCAATCGGTCTATTCTTGAAAAATGCTATTGGGTCCTCGCTGAATCAGAATATATCAGCATGGGACAACAAGTAAAGATGCAACTTGAGGTAACCTTCACGAGCTGAGAGTCATCTAATTGGAGTAGAAAATCATTCGCTGCAGCAATGGCTAAGGGTTTGGATTTAAATACACACAAAGATGAGGAAACAAGGCCTTGGACAAGCACTAAGCAAGGAGTTGGAATTGAGACTTCTCTATAATTCAGAATTTTTGCAAAACTGCAAATTAAGTGAAAGGGAAACTAGAAAGTAATACCTCTCCCTGGGCTTTAGGTGAAAAAGGAAAAATTCGTAGGAAAGTACAAGGTGAGTCTACAATACTTTGTTCCATCAGAAATAAAGGAATTGCTCAAACATGAATGCAGTATGTCAAAAAGCAACAAATTAGCTTGAAGGGTACTAGGCAATGTTAGGGCAATGTGGGCACTGTATGGACGCCTCTTCTGTAGGTATCACATCTTCACCTTTTACTTAAGCTCTTGCTACAGAAACCAACCTCGGGCAAGTGCAACCTGATAACACCTTGCCTCAGCCAACCATGAATCTCTTGCTTTCTGTCCCAGGGCTCCTCTGACATTACAAGTACCGATGTGCCCCGTACAGAACAAACCTGAAACTGCGCGGGTGCCAACACCCCATGAGGAAACCCTGATCCAATGACGGAAGGAAGCTAGTGGATAAATTGTCCCCTCTTTTATCTCTTGGGGACACAATTTTAAGGTGCATTTTACACAGCTCCTCAGAGCTCCAGAAGAATTGAGTCCCAATTGTCCAAAACAGTAACCAACTTAATAATGCACCCTTGGCCGGGCGTGGTGGCTCAAGCCTGTAATCCCAGCACTTTGGGAGGTCGAGACGGGCGGATCACGAGGTCAGGAGATCAAGACCATCCTGGCTAACACGGTGAAACCCCGTCTCTACTGAAAAATACAAAAACTAGCCGGGCGAGGTGGCAGGCGCCTGTAGTCCTAACTACTCTGGCTGAGGCAGGAGAATGGCGTAAACCCGGGAGGCGGAGCTTGCAGTGAGCTGAGATCCGGCCACAGCACTCCAGCCCGGGCGACAGAGCGAGGCTCCGTCTCAAAAAATAAAAATAAATAATAATAATAATAATAATAATACACCCTTGTATTAGCTTTCCCGCTTCCCCATTTAACTCTTCCAGTCTCTCATTCCTGTTAGGCAATAAGAACCTGGGTAGGGGGTGAGAGGGCAATAAGATTCAAGAAGAGAGAAATCTGGAAAGTGAGCAGATTGCTACAACTGCTTTATTCTGAGGTTTGCTAATTCTGAGCACAGGCAGGAGGCTGAGAATCTGGATTTTGTACCCACAGATGGCTGCTGCTAGGGGACCAAAAAGCCATCAGAGCTTTTGGTAGAGCTTTCAGGAGACTTCAAATACATTGCTAATTTCTCCCTAGAACATTTTCTGAATTTAAAGACTGTACAACTCAACACTAAAACAAAAACAAATCACCTAAGCAGAAAGCGAGATTTGTCAAAATGTCAACAATTGTTAAATATGGATGATGAATATATGGGTATTATTTGTATTATTCATTCAACTTCTGTTTGAAAATATTCGTGATAAAAAGTGGAAGGGAAAATTCCAGGCCTCTGTGTATGTAAGTTTGGAGTACCAACTTATATTATCTATAATATAGGTAATTTTGGAGTACAAACTTACATAACTTATGATACAAAGGAGACTCTGAGCCAGGAATTTAACTTAAAATTAGGTCTCAATCTGATAATAACCCTAAGGACTTAGAAAAGGCAAATACAAAACCACTCCAAAGAAATACTCCCACAACTGCAGTAGAACAGGATTGCCCATAAGAAAAACACACTAAAGACAAACTCACAACTAAAACTTAAACACATGACAACACATGAAAAAAAGATAATAAAGAAATATATGAAAAGAGCACAATGTCACTATAGTAAGAGAAATGAATATATTTTTCACCCAATATATTAAATATTTTTAAAATAATGTGTTGACAAAATAGAGAAAGAAACAGCCTCAGAATTTATATTAAGTATATGAATTAGGCAGAAGATAATATAGAAATAAATATATCAAAATTTTAAATGTTGTGGGAGGAAGGAAGGGAGGCAAGGGTTGAAACACTATTGGATACTATGCTCACTACCTGAGTGATGGGATCAGTCACATCCCAAACTTCAGCATCTCACAATATTACCCACGTAGGCCAGACGTGGTGGCTCACGCCTGTAATCCTAGAACTTTGGGAGGCCGAGGTGGGTGGATCACCTGAGGTCAAGAGTTTGAGACCAGCCTGACCAATATGGAGAAACCCCATCTCTACTAAAAATACAAAATTAGCCGGCGTGGTGGCACACGCCTGTAGTCCCAGCTACTCGGGAGGATGAGGCAGGAGAATTGCTTGAATCCGGGAGGTGGAGGCTGCAGTGAGCAGAGATTGCCCCATTGCACTCCAG